GGGGCTCAATGTCCTGAACCATGAGATCATGACCTGAGCTGAGATTAAACATTGGACACTCAACTGATTGAGCCACCCAAATGCCCCAGATCATATGATATATCTATTTTTGATTTTTTGAGGAACCTCTGTGCCGTTTTCCACAGTAGTTGTACCAATTTGTTTCACCAATAGTGTATGAGGCTTCCTTTTTATCCACATCCTCACCAACACTTACTATCTCTTGTCTTTTTAATCCCAGCCATTCTGGTTAGTGTGATGTCGTATCTCATTGTGGTTTTGATTTGCATTTCCCTGATGAGTAATGTTGAGCATCTTCTCATGTGTCTGTTGGCCATCTGTAGGTCTTTTTTGGAAAATGTTTCTTCATGTCCTCTACCCATTTTTTTTCTTTCTTAAAAATGATTTTATTTACTTATTTTGAGAGAGAGAGAGAGAGAGAGAGAGAGAGAGAGAGAGAGAAAGAGCATGAGATGGGAAGGGCAGAGAGAGAGGGAGAGGGAGAATCTCAAGCAGGCTTGTTGTCAGTGCAGAGGCCAATGTGGGGCTCAGTCTCATGAACCATGAGACCATGACCTGAGCAGAAATCAAGAGTCAGAGGCCTAACTGAGTGAGCCACCCAGGCGCCCCTACCCAGTTTTTAATTAGAGTGGGTTTTTTGGTGTTGAGTTATAGTTCTTTACATGTTTTGGGTATTAACCCTTTATGGGACATATCATTTGCAAATATCTTCTCCCATTCACTAGGTTGCCTTTTTGTTTTGTTGATAGTTTCCTTTATTGCATGAAAGCTTTTTATTTTTGGTGTAGTCCCAATATTTTCTTTTTGCTTTTGGTTTCCTTGCCTGAGGAGACATATCCATAAATATGTTGCTGCTGTTCTTTGTTTTTAACTCTTCAAAAAGTGTGCCCTTCTTATCGTTACAGAAATCTTTACCATCAATATTTCCCAGTATTCTTCTCACCATTACTCCTTACATCTCATGCCTTCTTTCTTGGTTCATTTTCATTCTTGCTCAAGTACACCTATGACAGGTGAGCTCCATTTCAGTCTTTGTATGTCTGAAAACATCTTTATTTTATACCCAGTCTCACAGGAGCCTTGCATGCCAACTTGTGCAGCATCCCTACAGAAAGGTTTCAGTTGTCTCTGCCGGGCTCTTATGGGTTTCTCACTTTTGGACTGGTTTTATGTTGACCTTACTACTTGCGATTCCCATAGCACTTTGGTAGTATGATTTGAACCCCACACCTGTATGTGGTGTGGGATTAGGAATCAGATTCCTCTTGGGTTATTCTTTTTTCATCCATGGCCTGAGGTCCTTGGCCAACTTTCTTCCAACCTAAGTCAGCAGCAGATGTTTTAGTCCCTATTTCAAAGAGAGGTGAGCCCTTTCAGGACTTAGCTTTAGGCCTTGATCTTTTCTTATTTTTTCAAATTTTTATTTAAATTGTAGTTAGTTAATGGAGCGCCTGGGTGGCTCAGTTGGTTAAGTGTCCCACTCTTGATTTCAGCTCAGGTCATGATCTCGAGGTTCATGAGTTTGAGTCCTGCATCAGGCTCTGCACTAACAATGTGGAGCATGCTTGGGATTCTGTGTCTTCCTCTCTCTCTGCCCCTTCCCCGCTCATGTACACTGTCTTTCTCTCTCTTAAAATAAATAAATATTAAAAAAATAAATTCTAGTTAGTTAACATATAGTGCAATATTGGTTTCAGTAGTAGAATTCAGAGATTCATTACTTACATACAACACCCTGTGCTCATTATAAGAAGTACTCTTTTTCATACCCATCACCCATCTGCCCATCCCCCCACCTCCCTCCATCAACACTCAGTTTGTTCTCTATCATCAAGAGTCTTTTATGATTTGTGTCTATTTCTCTTTTTTCTCCCCCCCCATATGTTCATCTGTTTTATTTCTTAAATTCCACATGTGAATGAAATCTTACGGTATTTGTCTTTCTCTGGCTGACTTATCATTTCACTTAGCATAATGCACTGTAGCTCCATCCCTGTTGTTGCAAATGGCAAGATTTCATTCTTTTTGATGGTTGAGTAATATTCCATCAGACACACACACACACACACACACACACACACACACACACACACACCACATCTTCTTTATCCATTCATCAGTCAGTGGACATTTGGGCCTTCCCGTAGTTTGGCTATTATCAATAATGCTGTTGATGCCTTGTCTCATTTTCAGTTCTCTGTATCATGGGTCTAAGACTTCATCTGTCTGGGAGAGGACCACTGCAAAGGTCTGCAGCTGGTTTTGGTACCCTATAGACCTTTGGGCTCAGCTCCTGCTTACACTCAGGCTTTGAATTACACTTTCATTTATAGCACTTAAGGATTTTCCTTTATTGCTTCTGAGCTCCACTGTGTATTGAATTCTTTTTGCTCTATTTTATTAAGCATTTCTATGGGTTCACTGTTGTGTGAGGTACTTTCCTTGTTAGGTCTGTCCAGCATATCGACCAGAAGTTACAGTCATCTTTCTAAAGCTAAGTATGATCCTATCACCCCTTTACTTGATTTCTGTGAACTTGTTAGCACTGCTTCATTTATTCATCCAACAAATATTTCTTGCTTATAACATCAGTGGGGAGAGCTGGGGATACTGTGGTGAGCAAGAAATAACGTCTCTGCCCTCCTGGAGTTCACCATACTGGCGGAGACACAGAAAGTCAGCCTGTAAACAATAAGTAAAAATGGGAACTACAGTTAGTGAAACGTCCCCTGAAGGAAATAAGGCGTGATGGAGAGCAGTTGTTTGGGGGTTACGTTAGCAAGAGCCGACAGGTGAGACCTCTCTGAGGAAGTTACATTTAAAGCTGAAATCAGGAGGATGAGGAGAGGCCAGCCGTGCAAATATTAGAGGGCTTGTTGGGGGCTGGGGGCTAATTCTAGGTAGTGGAAACAGCAAGTACAAGGAGCCAGAGGTGGAGAACACCTGGCAGTTTAGAATTACCGAGATGAAACCATGTGCTCGAATGGGGGGGGGGTGTGCCCCAGTTAGAGAGGCAAGTGGGAGCCCAGCCTCATCTGCTGCCACACCTCTCTCCACCCCATTCCTACCCGTCATCTTGCCACACTGATTCTTCCCCAAAGGGGTCTGTGTGAAGTCACCTCCCTGGTAAAGCCCTCCTCGCTATCTCAGTTCCCACCGTACTTTGTCTCCTATCACAATATGGTGTGGAGAGCTGTTCACATGACGGTGTTCTCCAGGGGGCCTGCAGCTTCTGTCACAAGGTATGTCTTATTTACCCTCATGATCCCCAGACTGTGACACAATGCTTTACGTGGTAGGCACATAATAGATGTTGATTGAATAAGTGTTTGTTTGGTTTTTTGACAGTTCATGCTTAGGGCTTCCTTTCTGATCTTTCCAATGCCTTTATAACAGAACTTCTCATAGATCATAATTTTTGTGGTATTTAGACCATCAGGGCAAGGAAAACCATCAACTGAGGAGGAATTTATTTGCTTAAGATTTGTCTCTGATCCAGAAGGGGAAGATCGGGGGAGGTGCTATAGAATCAGTGGAGTGGGTCCAATGGTGGCCCCTGAAAAGATTGTGCCCACCTCCTAATCCCTGGAAACTGAATGTGACTTTATGTGGAAGAAGGGTCTGCACAGACATAGTTGAGGATCTTGAGGATGAGATCAAACCAGATTCTTCAGGGGGACCCTAAATCCACCACAAGTGTCCTCATAAGGGACAGAAGAGGAGGAGACAGAGACACACAGGAGAAGGCCATGGGAAGACAGAAGCAGAGACTGGAGCCATGCAGCCACAAGCCAAGAAATGCCTGGACCTCCAGAAGCTATAAGAGCCAGGAAGCATTCTCCCCTAGAGCCTTTGGAGAAAGCTGGGCCTGGCTGACACCTTGATTTCAGACTTCCGGCCTCCAGAACTATGAGAGAACAATGTTTTGTTGTAAGCCACTGGTTTGTTAACACATATCCCTTCACCTTATACCTCAGTTACCTCTTCTGTAATGTGGCTATAATAATATCTACCTCAGAAGCCTGCTTCCATGATTAAATGAAATATGTGTGTAAGGTACTTAGCAAACTGTGGATGCTCAAAATAGTGACGGCTCCTCTCTTCATCATCGCTGTCTTCAAGGACTTAGGAGTTTGCTTCCTTTTATGAATAAAAACTCAACCATAGAGTGGGACATTTCTGTCTTGTGACTGGGAAGTCAAAGCTCACACCACAGACTTGGCCTGAGGGCTTCAACTTCCACATTGGCTCCATAGTGCTTGACTTGAGTCCTGGTGCCTTCACTGCCCTCCGTTAGCATTTTATATCAAGAGCGAGTTCAGCTTGATGCTGTGGGTTGGGGAAGCCAAACTAGAACTCACATACCAAATTTGAAATGACCCACATGGAGCAAAAAGCAACCTCTCTGTCCTCACTTAAAAGAAAGGTTTGGGGATTTTATTTTTTTATTTTTTATTTTTTTTTAAATTTTTTTTTTCAACGTTTATTTATTTTTGGGACAGAGAGAGACAGAGCATGAACGGGGGAGGGGCAGAGAGAGAGGGGGACACAGAATCGGAAACAGGCTCCAGGCTCCGAGCCATCAGCCCAGAGCCCGACGCGGGGCTCGAACTCACAGACCGCGAGATCGTGACCTGGCTGAAGTCGGACGCTTACCCGACTGCGCCACCCAGGCGCCCCAGGTTTGGGGATTTTAAATTTCTAATTCCTATTGAGGGATTGGACATTCCCAAAGACCTGTACTGATGCATCCTATCACACCAGTCATCAGAAGTTCATCATAATGAGTTTGGACTTTCTGTATTTGTATTTGTGTTTATATGTGTATTTGTATTTGTTTTTGTCTGAACACCATTATAAAAGCAGGGAGTGTGTGGAAGACAGGCAGTACCTGCACACAGAGGTCAGACACTTTATGGTGGTGGGAAGGCCCCAGGGCTGAGCTGGGGTGCAGTGCTTATGCTTCCTTTCTCCCACAGATGGCTGGCACAGTGCTCGGAGTGGGGGCTGGCGTGTTCATCTTAGCCCTGCTCTGGGTGTTAGTGCTGCTGCTGTGTATGCTGCTGTCCAGAGCGTCTGGTGTAGCGAGGTAAGGCTTTCTCTCCAGCTGAGAGTCCAAGGTAAAAGCAATTAGAAGCGAAATCGCTGATGCTTATTAAACATTTAGAATCCAGAAGACCATTTCTGCAATTACTGGCAGTTTGAATGAATTGTATTTTAACCTGTTGTCATAAGCACTGACTGTATTATTGATGCTTTGAAGCAGAGGTGAGAGAAGGGAAGTGGTGTTTTCTAGTTTTCACGGTAGAGGAGATGGGGGGACATGAGAGATGAAAAGGAAATCTGCTTTTGCTGCCTGTGAATTTCTTGGGGGGTGTGTGTGTGTGTGTGTGTGTGTGTCTTAATTGTTCAGACTTAGGGCACATGCAGGTCCAGTCTTGAGGCTCTAACCTGGGCCTAGGGACACTTCAGGAGCACCAAGGGCTTGGGCTGGTTCTCTCTCGGGCACTGGCCTCAGAACACTGACTTTAACAACGCTATAGAGCTGTGCTCTGGCCAGACAGTATCGGTATGAAGCAGCGAACTATGTGATTTACCAAAGTATTCCAGTCTGAAAACAAACTGAGAGATTGAGAAGAGGGGAGGGCTGCTTTGATTTTTCCTGATTATGACATTTTTTGCAGAGGCAAAAATTAAAACTACCAATTCCCATTCTTAGGAATTGGGAATTATGGGAATAAATAGGAATGAATCCAGCTGGGGACCTGTCTAGAAAGAAGGGCTTTGGGATGAAGGAGAGACCATTTCTAAATTCGCTGGACAGTGTGGACAGCAGGTCTCTAGGCCTTGTTCATAGACTGAAACTTAGAATATTGGCTCCAAGGAAGAGCCAGTCCAGACCTCACTGATTAGAGAGGAATCTGTAAAGCATGCTTGTGACATTCTGTCTTTTGACCCCAGGTTCTCTGTCATTTTTGTATTCCTCGGTGCTCTAATCATCACATCAGTTCTGCTGGTCTTCCCTCGAGCCAGTGAAGTCCCAGCCCCAGAGGTCGAAATGAAGGTAAAACTATTGGTTTTATTTTGCCCTCCTGAGTTATAACTCTTGCTTCTCTCGGTCTAGACCTCCATCCTGCCCTGAGGTGTTCCCCGATGTCAGGTCGGCCGACATGTGTTAGAAGTGTAAAGTTAAAACAAAGGTGGGGAAAGCTGAGAGGGAGTTTTAAATTCCCCTCTCCTTCCACCCAGACTGAGAATCTCACTCTGATTCCCACGTGCAAGACCACTGGGCAGTTATTTGCCTGATTGGAGCGCATCCCCACTGTGCATCGAGTTGAACAAGCAGTGTGTCCAAAAGCCACCTGATCCTGTGGGGCTGGAGAGGAGGCAGTGAGTTAGGAACAGGAACAGGGCCTGGCCCTGAAATGAAAGCATCCTCATCCTGGTAGTCTGGGCCCAGGAAGTCGGATCCTGGCCAAAGTGTATGCAGCGCCCTCGGGGTTGCCCTCCCGTGTTTGATTTTCTCCACTTGTGATGTGAAGAGAGTACTTTCCGTAGAGATCAGTAGTCTGGGAGATCAGCTGGCCCTAGTTCCTGGAACACCATCCGCCAGCACCCACCTCTCTAGGGGGCTTGTTAACCTGTCTCTCATAGACCTTCTCTGGAGACCCCACCTATTCTAGTCCATTCTGGGCTGGGGCTCTGACTTTACCCTCAGATCTTGGTAATGGCATTGACTTCCTACCTCCCATCTACCTTCTAGCAGCTCCTCCCAACCCCCCATTTTCATTTTTAAAGTGGTAATAATAATAATAGCTAATATTGTTTAAGGGGTTACTGTGCGTGAGGTTGTTTGCTAAACACGTTGTTTGCATGATCTCACTTAAACCTTAAGACAAGCCTAAATAGTATGAAGTAGGTGCTGTTATTATCCCCATTTTATAGGTAAGGACACTGAGGCTATAAGAGGTTAAAGTAACTTGCCCAAGGTCATACATATATGGGAAGAGGCAGAGCAAGGATTCAAGCTGAGGTCTGTCTGCAAAACCTTCATTGTTGGGGACTCAACAGAATATTGGGGGCCATCCCAGAGAGTTCATGGGTGAGTATTTGACACCAGACAACAGTACACAAAATTATACAACTTCTGAACTAAAATTGGAACACATTTCTAACTCTATCTAGGACTAGTCCTGGCAAAAGGGAGGCAATTTGCTCTGAAAAGTCCAAGGAACCACATAAATTTAAGGAATTATTTCCATACACGTCAGGTGTTTATCAGCATTTGAAAACCACCCTGTCAGTGTAAGTACCACGTGTGGGAGCCAGGAATAGACTCCCACCTCCATTTCCCTGTCTGAAAGGGAGAGAGTGATGAAGGCAACTATATTTCTGGATTGCTGCAGATGTGAATATTCGAAGAAGGACACAGAGCAAACACTGTTTCGAATTTAATTCCTCTATCCTCTGTCATAGGAGTTTCAGACCCACGAGACAAGAATGAGGTTTGAGCAAAATATGTCCGTCAGCATGGCCAGCAGAATTGGTGTTCTCATTTTCAGGTTTTGAGAACCGGCCCCTGCAGCAGCCTGGCTCAATACTGTATCAATAATACATGACCTGGGCCTTCTGCACCCAAGGCCTGCTAATTGGCTAATTAAAAAGTGAAACGTGTCAAACGAGCAAACATGTAGCTCGCGAGAGACTTGTTCAGTACTGGAGCCAAGGTCAAAGTTATGTTAAAGCTGTTTTATCAAACTGACCTTTGTTGTAAGTTGGCTGTTGGGGTAATCTCTGGAGCGGCCCTTTTCTTCTTGGTATCTTTGGATCTCAGCAATCAGAGCAACGCTAGGACTTGACAGGTACTTTGTGTATTGCCACTGTATTAGTTTCCTATTGCTGCTGTAACAAATCAGCAACTTAGGTTTGCAACACAGATGTACTGTCTTACAGTTCTGTAAGTTAGAAGTCCAGATGCAGCCTCACTGCGCTAAAATCAAGGGGTTGGCAGGGCTGTACTCCTTCCTGGAGGTTCTGGGGAAGAATCTGTTTCTTTGCCCTTCCTAGCTTCTAGAGTCCACCCTTGGCTAGTGGCTCCCTGGCTCCATCTTTAGAACCAGCAAGGTAACATCCCACTGACTCTACTTCCATCTTGACATCTCTTTCTTTGACCTTCTCTTCCACCTCGCTCTTCCATGTTTAAGGACCCATGTGATTAGACCGGGCCCACCTGGATTGGATAACTCAGGCTAATCTCCCTATTTTAAGGTCAGCCAATCAGCAACCTTAATTCCTTTGCCATGTAATCTAACATATTCACCATTTCTGGAGATTAGGATGTAGACATTTTTGGGTCACTATCCTGTCTACCTCCATTGCCTTGCAAGCATTTGGGATTCTATTCCCTTTGGGAAGCTGTGAAATCACTCTGTCATTTGGTTCATATTCCCTCTCCATTAGATCGATAAATTCAGTTGTTTTTTCCTGTCCCAATTTAAGCATTGGGACCATTTGGGTCTGGGGAGAGTAGTGCCCTGGCAGTGGACAGTGGACAAGTGGGCAGAGCCAACTCTGAAGTATAGGTTTTGTCAGCAAAGACCAACAGCTTTGGGGCCTCAACTATGACTGGTTGCCAGACAGCCAACTGTATGATTAGGGCACGTTATTTATCCTGTAAGGATTTTAGTGTCTCAGGCAAAAGGCCATTTAACCTAACCCTTGGAGTACTGGGTTATGAATGTTAGGGTTCAGGACACTTCTGATGAAAATTTTCAAGAATCACCTTTCCATTTTGAAAATGAGCCCTCCTGAAACAGCAGCAGGTTGATGAGTTGGGGGCTTCGATCTTGGATACAGGAGGTTATGCTGTTATATTTTTATATATATTTAAAATTCTCCATAATAAAAAGTTAACAACAACAAAAAATGAGACTTTCTAAGACCAAGGAAGCAAGCTTCTCATGAACTCCTTCAGATAACTGATTTCAGAACATAAAAGAGCTCATCTAAGGTCTTTGGAGTGTTTATGAAACCTCCTATGTTGAGCCTTTTTTTTCCCCCCCTGTACTTCATTAATCTTTTCTTTATCTTGTATTTCCAGCTCAGGGAGTTATTTCCCAACCATTTACAGAAGAGACTCAGATCAGGATGTTTCTGGAAGTCACAAATACAAACAGACTCTGGGCCCACTCATCAAAGATTTCAGATGAGCACAACCAGGGTGCTGAAGTGATAGTAATTTCCTTTTTGATGTTTCTTTCTGCAGATTGTGGATTCCTTTTTCATTGGCCGCTATGTCCTGCTGGCTTTCCTCACTGCTGTCTTCCTTGGAGGCCTCTTTTTGGTTCTCATTCATCATATCCTGGAGCCAATCTATGCCAAACCACTGCGGTCCTACTGAGCACTATTCAGGAAAGCCAAGACCCTGTTCTGTCCTTCGCTTCTGATGTCATTAATGAGCAGAAGGGTACTGTTCAGAGCCTTGTTTTGACAGCCTTCATGCCTTAAGATCAGAGAAATATCCATTCATGACTAGGATAAATCTCTTGAATCCTGGATTCCAAAAATGGGGTTGCAAAATTGGCCCTGCAGAGGCGATTCTCACCATCTTCTGAGGGATACTGCTATCTTCTTAGCACTTGTTCCTCAGGTTTTCTGTTTTGACAGGGAAATAAAGATAGTGATCTGCTTCTGGTAGATTTTCAATCAAGACATCATTAAGTGGATTTTGGGAAAAGGAGCACTTTGGCTTCCCCTGTCCAGTAGACAGAAGAATCTCATCCTTTTGATAATACACGATTCTTAGTTACAAGGTTGGGATCAGTTGGAAAGGAAAGGCACTCCAAGTTCGAAAGCTTATTTTAATGTGATGAGTTGGAAGACTTACCCAGATGTTGGTTGTTGACCAGTGTGCATATGGTGTCACAGAATCTATACAAGCAATGGGTGTCACTTCTCTCTGCTATAATAAAGCAATAAACAACCGAAGGACCGACTTTCACCTCAGACTCTTGGCCAAGACTTTCTCAGTCTATATTCTATATTTCAAGTTTGCTTTGGGATTAGAAGAAGGGTATGGAAATGTTGATTGTTTGTCTTGTTTCTGTGGATCTCTGGATTCTTTCAGGATTTGGTAGCCTTTGTGTGCCTTCTTTAATTACTATAAAGTCCATTTTGGATTATTATCATTTCTTTTCATCTTTGTAGCTCTTTCTCCAAAGCTGGTAAGAAATGTATGTTCCTAGGAATAGATACAACTTTATGCCTATCTGAAATCCTAGATCACCCAAGATTTGTCATTAAATGGAGGGACTCTGGGCTGTTTCTACTTTGGAAGTCTCTCCTGACTCCCTAGAACTAAATGAAGAAGGATCTTCTGACTTAAAATTAAGAACAAGAAAACAAGTTGGAAGGAGAACTTTGAGCACGTACTTTATGCCAATATGACACTAGTTACCCTGAAACCCAATTTATTTAAATTTTAGGTTTAAAGATTATATATATAATATATATGTTATATATGTAATTATTATAGATTATTATCTATTTTTATCATTCCGTTTTAAAGTAGAAAAAAATTAAGGCTTAAGGAGATGAACTAACTTGCCCAGGCATCATATAACATCCAGTGTGTGTGCCCAGGCGTAACAGACTCCAGGGCCTGTCTCTGGACTGAAAAGAAAACATGCTGAGCTTTGTGGGACTTTGAGAGCTTGAGGAAGTCAGGGCCACATCTCCTTCACTTTCTCTCCTGGATCCTCTTGTCAGTGTAGAAAAGATCCCATCCCACCACCCCAGTGGGGGCTAAGCTCTAAGTTAAAAGAGGAGAGAATGGGTGACTTTTGGGAGTCATGGGCTGGTGAGGGCCAGATATATTTATTTCTGCATTTGAACTGTATCTTATTCAGTTCAGAAAACCTTTGCAGATAAGGCTTTGCCATAGAACCATTCAAAGGAAATCGTCTCTTCGTCTAGCCTAGGGCCCACAGGTAAGGAAAGGAGAAATATCCCTCCAACCAGATTGGAGGGGAGAAAGGAGAATGCAAACATATGGAGGGAAGTTGGGCAAGCTGGGAGTCAGGCTTTGTCCTCCTCTCTGAACACTTGCACTGAAGCTTCCAGATACCTGTGAGTCTCTGTGCAGAGACATTGAACCAGCCCAAGTGGAGCACGGACTCCTAACAAGCACGGGCTGCCATTTGTCACCTCCTGAGAGACTTGCTGACAAATCAAATCTGGGAAAACTTGTAGATCTTGACCTTGAATCATCCTTTTTTATTCCCAAACAAAGGTGTCCAACTTTGAGATCAATGGATAATAGCTATGAAGTTTTGGGTGACTGCTTACACAGGGAAAAATGTGTGAAGGTTGGAAACTAAATCCCTTCCCAAATACCACGGCTACCTAATGCGTGTTTGTGTGTGTGTGTGTGTGTGTGTGTGTGTGTGTGTGTGTGTGTGTGTTTTGCACAGATATAAATGACAGGGGAAAAAATATATACTTTGTACAAAGTATTTTAGGTTGGCCTGCCTCCTATAGATCCCAAATCCATAACTACCAAGTGTGGGGAAATGATAGATTACTCTCTACCTTCATGCTCAGAGCAGTCGTGGCCAACCCCCTGTGTGTGGGATAAGAAGTAGAAGGCTGAAACGTGAATTTCACTGAGAGTTCTACATGGGCCACCCCTACAATGTCTAATATGGCACCCCTTGTGCCCACTGCCTTCCTAGAGACAGGGCTTAGAGGTCATCTTAATGTCCCATTCATCATTCTTTGATCAATGGCCTTAGAGCAGGTTGTGCTATACTGTTCCTTACCCAGAGGGGATCCTGTAGCCGAGAGACTTGTGGTGATCCCCACTGTTTACAAGTTGGAGAGGGAGAGCAAATCAAGAGTTCCACATAAAAAGTAGATGATTTCATAGCCTCTTAAAATTGTATCCTGACAAAAGCTAAATTAGCTAAAATTGTATCCTGACAAAAGTGATGCCACACTACCCCACAATGGAGACATTGATCTAGTCTGCTAGGTGGTGCTGTGTGATATATGTTAGAAGTCCCTCAAGCCCACAAAACACACCTCCTAGGTCATTTTTGGCAAGTTCCTTAAATCTCTCGTTTATAAAAATGGGAGTAATATTAACATTCTTTACTGACACATGGTATCAGCTATTTGATCTAAAAATTCATCAAAATTATTGTACCAAAGTTCAGGTACGAGAGAATGCATAGCCATTCAGTCATGCTTCATCCAGCATGCACTGCCATTCATTCAATATCTACTGTGTACCTGTTGGGTATAAAGCATCAGTCCTGGTGGGATAGACTAGCCTAAGAAGTAGTCTCTGAGCTGTCTAGGCTGTCTTCCTAACCATCCCTGGATAAAAGCCGCCAAATTATTTTTTAATGTTTTTATTCTAACATAAAGCAATCCATGTCTTGTTCTAGAACTTCTCTAAGACATAAACTGTTCCATCAACCATTTCGTTGCTGCTTCAGTTGAAGAATTTTTATTTTACTTTGATTTTTATTCAACATGTAAAGAAACCTGCTGCAATTATTTTACGGAAGAACAACAGGCAGGAGGTGAAAGGGATTTTAAAAGTTTCCCTAGTTAGTGGGGCTCAAACTTGACATGGGGATTCCTGACATCTCACTCTTCAGATAACTTAAAGATCATTTTTGGCTGTCAAACAACTCCTTGTTTCTACATTGGTTAATATTATTTTTTTAGCTCTTGGTACCCATCTTTTCCCTAACCCGTGTCTAAAAAAGGTAAAACTTTCATTAAAGAATCTCTAGTTAACATCTACAGTACAAATAATAAATATTTTGTCATAACTTCTTGGCTTAAACCTTTAAGTATTTGGCTGTTGTCACATAGGAGCAAGTTTCCAGATGTGGAAACGGTATGGAAATGAAGTGTTGATTATCCTCACAGGAGTGCAAAAAGTCAAGGTTGGACAGGATTTCATAGTTCATAGGGTTCAATCTTTTATTCTCTGTTTCCATCCCAATACTTGGAAATATTCTATTCCTCACAGGCTGAAATCACAATTTTCATTATATTTACCAAACGTGTTCTAAGCATTTTCCTAAATGCTTTGTAAATATTAAGTCATCCTCATAAGCAACCCTATGAGGTAGGTACTCTTACTATCCCCATTTCACAGATGGGGACAGGGTACAGAGTGGTGAGGTGATTTGCTTGAGGTCACTTAGCTCAAGGTTAAATAGGAGTCAGGATTTCAAATCAGATGGTTTGGCTCCAGTCTAAGCTTTTACATACTTTATATTACACTATCTTGCTCCATAAAATAAAAATAAAGAAAAACGAGGGACCAAGGTCAAGTGATGTAAATCCAGTTGATAGAAATACCAAAAAAGCAGCAACTGAGTCTAGTGGAAAACCCAGAATCTTAGGATTGGGCAAGAGTCCGAGACAAAGAGACAAAAGCTACATAGGACCTCACAGACAAGTGCTCTCATCCACCCTGTGTTTTTGGTGGGTCTTTGCCCTGTTGGACTTGGCTCCTCAGTGGCTGAGAGAGAGATTCAGTGGAGCAGCCCATACATGGAGTTTTCAAGGACACACACAGCCATCTCTCTCTTAAGCACGGTCTACTGGAATGTTTGATACTTGGGTTGGTTTTCAGAAGCGCCACTGGAAGAATCAAAGCCACAAACCAAGAATGTATTTGTTTCTTGATCTCTCTTTCTAACATCATTATTGGTGGTTGCCGTTTACTCAAGGAAAAAAGTTTCCAGAACCTCAGCCCCCAACCCCACTCCAACACACACCCTTCTTGTCTCAGTTTCTTGGGACCGAAGAAATGACAGGGATCAAAATCTGGGCCCAACACCACACAACAAGAAAGTTTCTTTTTCTGGTATTCATCACATCATGTTGGGAATCCTGAAGAATGTGCATTTAGCACAGGCCCTGCCTTCAGAAGAACTCAGGGTAGTTAACGTGGGTAGCGTTTATGCTGTACCTAAATGCTACATAGCCATCCCCTCCACGTGTTTTCTTTTAATCTTTGGGGATTTCTTTGGTTTTTCTGTCTTCAAATTGATGTCCCAGTTTTACACTGGGAACATGTAATAACTTCCTACTGCTGTAGTAACAAATTACCACCAACTTGGCAGTTTCGAAGAATACAGATTTATTATTGTACAGTTTGGGAGATCAGAAATCTGAAATAGGTTTCACGAGGCTAATATAAAGGTTTTGGAGGCTCTCAGGGAGAATCCCATTTCCTTTCCTTTTCTAGTGTCTAGAGGCTGCCCACACTCTTGCACCAGTATACCCTTCTCTGTCTTCAGAGCCAGCATCTTCTAATCCGACAACAGACACTCCTGCCTGCCTCTTTGATTAAGGAGCGCACCCTGATAATCCAGCATAGTCTCCCCATCTCATGGTCCTTAATCACATCTGCGCTTAACATATTCACGGCCCCGGGAATTAGGCTGTGAGCATCTTTGGGGGCGGGGGCATTGTTCTGCCAGCCACAGAATATCAGGCCCCACCCTCCATGTCTAAGGATCGCTTCCTTCCACCCTCCCCACCTCACTGCCCCCTTATCTCCAGGAGCACTCTCTGGTCCCCAGGGCCCCCACCCCACACCCATGATGTGTTGAGTCTCCTTTCCCCCAACTTCAGTCTTGCTGAAAGCCTCAGAGTGCCAAGGGTTCCCTTTCTTTTCATTACTTCTTTCCCGCACCCCCCCCCAACCACACACCACCCCAGCCTCCCAATGGCTCTCTAAAGGAGAAATGCAAAGAGTTATTGCTTTTTAATTACAAGTGCTATTGTAACATCTATAAGGAAGAACACTTTAAGCTTAATTGAGACCAAATGTGAAGTTAAATTAAATGAATAACTAATTAACGTAATGCTCCTGCATTAGCCCCAAGTGAGTGCTGAGGCCCAGAGAGAAGGCAGGTAGCAGGCTTGTCGGGGAACGGTCCGAGCACAGAGCTGAAGCAGGGCAGGGAACCTGGGA